GCTTTCAGGACCGGTCGATGCATTACGACGGTACTACGGAAGTGATACCGCCTCACACCAGCTCCGCTTCGTCCATTACGACACTTTACGACACTACATCCAAATCGTCGATGCATTACGACATGGCCTTCACCTCATCAAGGAATTACGACGCTGTATCGTCCAGGCTTGATACCATTACTTTCGAGTCAACAGGACTCCAGAAGCATGATACCAAACCGGCAGGACTTTCTCAACTGGATCTGTCATCATTGCTGACGTTCCAAGACGACAAGATTTGCCAGCGGGCGTATGCGGCCACACAGGAATCGATGCGGCTAATGAATACGACAAGCTGGATGGAACCGTGCGACGGTAATGGGGGCCAATTAGTCTGTGCCTGGGAGGATCAGAAGCACTTGGTCCCCTTTTGTTACTCCTTCGGTCTTCCGACCAAATTCGATTTTACTGCCGTCCGGGAGGCAGTGATTCTCTACCGGGCACCGGACGTGTGTGGGATCCACTGCAACACAGTGGACAGTGCTAGAAGGCTTCTGAACCAGAGACTCGCAACAGAGCTTGACACTCGGAACAAAAATTATGAATCGAAAGAGGATATAAATGATCCATACGAATTACAGAACATTGGAAAGCAGGTAAAAGAGAAGCTCATATTTAACAAAAAATGTTCTCCAACATGCTACAGAAATCGATGCAGAGAGCTTGCGAAAACAAATTGTAATTGCCCTATGGCATTACTCCAATGCTCAAATGGCGGCGCCAAAATCACTTCTTTGCTGTTCTTTCGCACCAATACCACGGAACTGTCAGAACGGGCCTCTGCAATCTGGCAGCCACTCTACAAAGACTTGCGGTGTGACGTTCGCTGCTATGACCCCGCCCCCTCAGATGACGGGACAGAACGGAACCCACCTAACGCCGCCTAACGAGGCACAGAAAGGGGGCCAACAATAGCGGGCGGCTGCAGGGTTTTTAGCTGCTCTCAATGGCCATAATTCTTGACTCTTGGTTTGACAGGATTTGTTTCGGCACGGCTTGCATCGATTTCACATTTCGCAGTTTTGGTGGCTTTAAAATTATGAAGGGTCTGGGGTGCGTGGGAAGGAAAGGTAGAGGGGCATTGTTGGCGTCGCTGTTGGTGGATGGTGTGCGACCGAGTACAGATGGTTGTGTTGCACGGATGATAACTATTGGTTCTGTTGATGAAGCTAAGCGAGCAGCTGGTGCGGTGGTGGAGGTAGCGGTAATAGCTCCGCCTGAGAAGTTTGCAGCAGCGAGTGACGACCCCACTAAGTTCGATTGGATGATGGACGCGCATCGGTTGCACGTTTATCGAGAGACACGGGCAACGAAGCCGTCACGATGTGTCGAGCGTTTGATGGGTCATTCTCTGGAACAGTACCTAGAATGGGAAAAGGCGACGGTGGCAGACGAGATTTGCGAAGAGGCTTTCGGTGTTAATCTTCCCCAGTTGCTGAGTGATTTGTTTGATCGAGATAACGATCAACAACTGAGTGCCGTACCGTGGAGTCCACCTCAGACATATGGCATCCGTCAACTCTCAGCCGACGAACGCGTCCATCTCTATGCGCGAATGCCGGCCGACTGGCAATCTGTACTTGATAATTCTTCCGATTCTGATCTTGAAGACGATATGGAGGACGATGACCTCGAGGTGGGTGGTAAGGTGGGCCTTTGCCATTTGAGCTTTCGCAAACCGTATCTTCCACAACTAAACCTTCCTCGGCTTAGCCTGTTCAGTTCGGCCGACATTCGCCAACTTAAATTACGTGATTTAGGCGCCTGTTGTACTTCTCGAGGTGTTCTACTCTGTCTTGCAGCGGCCGCCGTCACAGGTACCGTGGTCGGCGGTTCTGTCATCGCGTTCTCCGGCTCCACCGGTGAGGGCGTCTCCGTCGACGATGCGGAGTCTGCAAGAACGCGCGATCTGCTCAAGGAAGTCCGTGTCAGAGAAGACATTTGTGCATTGTTCTGGAACGATCTCGCACTACGGACTGCCACACCGGCCATGTATGACTCTTGGCGAGGTGCGCCTTGGTGCAATGGTTATTCGGGTAGACTCGTTTGTGGCTCTACAGCAACTCTGTCGGAGTTGACCGCAAAGGCCATCGCAAATGCGAAAACGGTTGACGCAGAGCTGACTCGCGGCTTGTCGTGCTACAACTTCCGGTCGCCATTCAAACACGATTTGCCAACCGTGTGGGAAGCGGTAGTGCGACATGACGCGCCGGAACTGTGTGCTGTAGTGTGCGATACGCTTTCTACCACCCTCCAACGGAGGGGGCGGTACTTGGCGAAAAAATTCGACATAAAAGGCGCCGGCAAAAAAGCCAACAGGATTGACGAAGAAGTGCTGGGGCAGTTCACGCACAACAAGAACTGCTCACGCGCCTACGTGGTCTCTCAACTTAGCCCGGCTGATCCGCAGTGCAACTGCACCGTCGGCATTCTTAATTGCTTCGCCCGCTACCGGGGTGGTGTTGAAATCCGCTGGGGGGACCTCATTGACTTCGAAACAAACGAAGAACAACTCTCCAAACACGTCTCTGGCTACCACCGCGAAGGCTACAAGATTAACCGTTGCGACTTTGAATGCTTCGAAAAGTAAATTAGCTGTGAGATCATTTGGTTGAGCTTGCTTGGCCTGACGGCTTCATCCTTGGGTTAAGGGTGGTTGGGGGGCGACAACACCGGCCAGGTCGCTTTTTTCCGGTCGGGGAAGATGCAGGTTTTCATCATTCGTAAATTATGAAAGGTCAAGTGTGTGCACTAGGAAGTTGTAGAGGGGGGGCACTGTTAGCATCATTATTGGTGGATGGCGTGCGGCCGAGTACAGACGGTTGTGTTGCACGGATGATAACAATTGGTTCTGATGATGCAGCTGAGCGAGCAGCTGGTGCGGTGGTGGAGGTAGCGGTAATAGCTCCGCCTGAGAAGTTTGCAGCAGCGAGTGACGACCCCACTAGGTTCGATTGGATGATGGACGCGAATCGGCTGCACGTCTATCGAGAGTCGTGGGCGACGGAGGCCTCAGGACGTGTCGAGCGTTTGATGAGGCACAGTTTGGAACAATATCTAGAACGAGAAGCGGCGTCTGTGGCAGACGAGATTTGCCAAGAGGCGTTCGGCATTACACTCCCGGAATTGATGAACGATCTGGGTGATGCGGACGAAGAGCAGCTCAGCACCGAGCCTTTGAACCGACCTCAAACATTCGGCGTCCGGCGCCTTGCAGAAAATGAACGGATTCAGCTCTTTGCACAAATGTCCCAAGACTGGCAATCCGTACTCAGTAACTCCTCCAAATTTGATTTCGAAATCAATGATGACATCGAATCCGGTGGCCGCCGAGTACGCAGATTGGTCGACTGTTGCAAGTCTCACCGTGTCGCAATCTCCGTCACTACCGCCTTGGTCACAGCGGCGGTGGTCGGTGGTTGTTCGTTTTACGGTCGGTACCTTTCTGATCACAAGAGGCCGTCTGGCCACGGTATCACGGCGGACACTCTTGCAGAACTCCGTGCCCCTGAAGACATTTGCGGGGCGACCTGGAACGATACAGCACTACGGTTCGCGAGACCAGTTTCGCAGGACTCGTGGCGTGAGGCGGGCTGGTGCAACGGTTACTCCGGCAAACTCGTTTGTGGTACGGAGAAGACATTGCAGACGTTAATGAAGATCGCTATGATACCTAACGCGGGCGAGGTGATTGTACCTCGTGGATTAAGATGCTACAACTTCCAAATGCCCTCCCCATACGACCTTCCGACTGTGTGGGAGGCAGTGGCCCAGTACGATACACCAGAACGGTGTGCCGTAGTCTGCGACACGATCTGGACTAGGCGCCAGCACATGGGTCGTTACATAGCGAAGAGGTTCGGTATCCCGCTCACGGGCATGGACCTTACAAAACTTGACGAAGAAGTATTGCGGAGATTCACACTTGATACGAACTGCTCACGTTCAGCTCCGGATATCAACCCCGATCCGCAGTGCAATTGTGCCATTGGTATCCTCGGCTGCTACGTCCGGGACCCGCGCGACAAAGAAATCCAATGGGGTGACCTACTGGACTTCAACACCAACCAATACACATTATCCAGACATGTCTCTAACTTTAACCATGATGGCTACAACGTCAGTAACTGTATCTTCGACTGCTACCAAAAGCAAGACACGTCTGGTAGCAGAACCTAGCAGTTCAACCTAATCGATAACAAGCAGTTCAACCTAATCGATAACGAGCAGTTCAACCTAATCGATAGCGAGCAGCTCAACCTGATCGATAGCGCGCAGTCCTTAGTCCTGACTAGACTAAATGTTGGTGTCGTCCGTTGGTATCGTCCGTTGGCATCTTGGGTACTAAATGTTGGTACCAATTTCACGTGGGGCCTGCCGTTAGGGATTTTTGGTTCGTTTTGTGGCGATTGAAAATTATGAGAGGTCCTGTTTGCGTTGTACAAAGCGGTAGAGAAGTTTTATTGGCGGCATTGTTGGTGGATGGTGTGCGGTCGAGTACGAAGAATTGTGTGGCACGAATGGTAACAGTTGGTTTGAATGATGAGGTGGCACTGGATGTAGCTGTGATTGCGCCTTTGGAGAAGTTTGAAGCAGCTAAGTCGAATCCTGGTAATTTTGATTGGTTGTTGGATTCGAATCGTCTTCATTTGTATCGAGAGACACGTGGGTCACGACGTGTAGAACGTCTTATGGGTAATGTGTGGATCGTCATCTGGAATTTGAAAACACATCGGTTGCAAATGTGGTTTGCGAAGAGGCGTTTGGTATCACGCTTGCTCAGTTGCAGAGTGACCTGGATGACCAGCAGAATGAAGAAGATGCACACGAGGACTCTTGGGCACGACCTAAGACTTTGAACATACGCCAACTGAAGTCCGATGAACGAGTGCACCTCTATACTCGAAGATCCAAGGAGTGGCGTAAAGTTATTAATAACTCGAATGACTTCGAGGTGGCGGATGATGGAGGCCGCGTTACCCACCGTATTCGAGTTCGAACTCGGGTCCACCAGCCGCACGGCTGCTGGTGTTGGTGCCCCGCTTGCTGCTGTCCCAGCTGCTGCTGTGCGCCATGCTGTTGTCTGCCTTGCCTCCCAAGCTGTGGGCCCTCCCTGTGCTGTTGCCTCCCAGACTCTGTGACTTGCGACACCAGCTGTTGCACACCCGCCTGCTGTCTCGGGGTCACTCTCGTAGCCGCCGTGGTTACGGGGGCCGCACTCGGAGGATGGTGGTATTACAACTCGCAAGGCTTCGGCAGTGCTTGGAGCGGCTTCAATTTGTGGGGTGACTACGACAACGACACCAACATTTCATCTCGTGCATTCCGCGAACTACGCGTTCCTCAAGACATTTGCTCAATGCTACCCAACAGTACCGCCCTCCCGAGCGCCACGCGAGCCTTGGCTGACTCCTGGAACCAAGTAGAGTGGTGCAATGGCAATTCTGGCAGGATCGTTTGTGGCTCGACTCACGGTGAATCGAATCCAGAAG